GCCTGCATTTCGCGCACTCGACACGCACGATCTCCGCAGAGGGTTGCACTTTCGGTTGACGCTGTTCGTCCCACCCTTCGCCTTTAAGAGAGAATTTATAATGTGGGAAAATGTTTTCATTAGGACATCTCCCGTGCTAGTTTTCCATGCTCATCATTAGTGCTCATCATTAGGACATCTCTCGTGCTAGGTTTCCATACTCATCATCGCACTTGCATCATTACACTTGCATACTTTGACACTTGCATACTTAGCACTTGGATGCTTGCGCTCTTCCACTTACACTGGGGTACGTATAGCGTTCATGTTGTAGTGCAAGTGTGGTGGAAGTGTCAGTGTGTAAGTGTAAGTGTCGAAGTGTCAGTGTTCAAAGGATTTTCCGGAAGAATCCTTCGCAATGCTTTCGGGAAAAAACAAAAACAAACCAAGCAAAGAACAATATATAAGACAAAACGGCAGACAGCAACAAAGATAAACCCTTAACCTCTAATAATCCGATCTTACAAATCCATAATGATAATCAATAAGTATTATTAGAAAGATGTTAGTAGTAAATATCTTCAATAACTAGAGACCTAAAATGAAATGCTTGTATTCGTATTATACTATCTTTATCTTTGTCTTCTTCTATGTTGGTATTTATTTCTTCATCTGCTTTATTCAATACATCGTCTATATTATCTTCACCTACATATTCATCAAAGTCATTCATGAAGTAAACTTCTCTCATAAATCAAAGATAGTAATTCTTCTTTTTCTTCTGTTATGAGGTTTCCTATACCTTCCAATCTAAATGGCGCTCCCTGCACTCCCTCTCTCATAATACAATACTCAATTATATACTTGTTGTTTCTTTGTCTTATCTTTCTGTCTATTTTCGGACCAAGTATTGATTTTTTTATTTGTTTTGTATTCTCCATGCTTCACTATGCTCTATTTTCACATATTCAGGTTCTCCAAGTTTTATAAGAAACAATTGTACTCAACACATCAACAGGTAAATCCTTCATACAATCCGTCCTACTAATATACTGCAAGGACTATTCTTTAAGTACTTATTCAAAGAATAACATAATAAAGTTCTTGATATGATGAAACAGATTTTAGACTATCTATAGAATACGAATCCAGCAGAAATAACCAAAAGAGGAAGAAACGAATTAAAGTCAATATTAATAGATGATAAGAAATTCAGATACAACAAAGACAAACCCATATC